GATTTAGAAAAAGATTGGGAAAAAATAAAAGCTCTCTCGGGAGAGTTCTTGTTGAACAATGTTATGCACAACTTCACAACGGTATACTCTTTATTTCCTTTGTTCTCTCTTCTATCCTTGATTTAGTAGTAATTTGAGTTTGGCGTTTTTGTTTCGCAGGCCAATACCTTGCTTTCTAGGGCCTTCAAAGGTTGATTTGGGATAAGGAGGAACTTACCTCCGAGCGGGATCAACTTTTGGCCGAGCGGGACCAAACTACTGCTTGCCTCTCAGAACTGGAAGCCAAAGCTACTGAGGCTATTGTGTTGGAGGCTTGTTTGCAACAAAGAGAGCAAGAAGTAGAGACCCTTAGCCAATAGATCGCCCCATTGAGGGTTCAATTTGAAGAGGCTAAGGCCAAATAGGTTGAAGTCCATAGTGACGTTCTTGCTGCATCCGATCATGAGGCTGCCTCCGCTAAAAGATTAAATAATTTGGAGCAACCTTGAACTCCAAAACTGAAGAGCTTGCTATTGCCGGGGTGAAATTTGCCCAATTGGAGGAGAAGTATAAGAGCAACCATTGAGCATAATAGGCTTTTCATCTCTACTGTCCGTGATCTCGATGTTAGCCTCTGGTCAGTTAGATCCACACGGGAAAATCTTTCTACCGAGGTTGACCAACTTAAAGAAGAACTCAAGAAACGAGTGGCTTCCCTCGTTGTTGAAAAAATGTATGTTATAACATGAGGAGAAAAACCTTCAAAGAGGATAAAACGGGTGTCATTGACTTTGATGCTGAAATCGCTAAAGCCCGTGAGCTGGAGTCTGCTAAAAGGGGTCTTCCGGCCAGACCTGATGCTTCTGATTCTTCTGGTTCCGGTTACGAATTCTTAGGAACTGAAGAGGAACCGGAAGGCAGAGATGTTGAAGGCCAAAATGATGAAGGTCATATTGAGCCGGTGGCGGATCTACCCATTTCTCCTGGGGCCTAGATGCTTCTCTTCCTCCGGGTTCAGGAGATGCAACAGCTTAGCTTTTCATCTCTTTTCCCAACTTTTGTACTTGTGCCATTTTGGAACCTTTATTGTAAATAAAACACCTTTTTTCAAGTATTGCATGAGTCTTTCTGCGTTCATTTGTTGAACATTTATGCAAGTTTAATCTTTGTATCCTTTCTTGTTTGAGTGTTTTGCGCAAGTTTTACTGTTTGCGCCTGATTATGTAAGGCTTTGGGTGTATTTCCTCCTAAAAGCATTTGGATTTTGGGCACAAGGTCTTCCGAAATCAACCCTTTATCGTGAGGGTTTTCATAAGAGAGGGCCCCCTTATGTTTACAATGATCTTGAAGAGGACGTCTCCTGTTCATTACGGCACTAGCATTTGAAGTACTTGTTTAACTTTCAAATGAAAAAATCAATTCATCGTTTAGACAAGAAACAAGATAGAAATAAAAGAATTTTACTTTATTCCTCCCATTTTCAAAAATTACATAAGCATTTGTTATGCTAAAAGGAAATCACCATTTCTTGTGGCTAACTTGTACAACTTGTTTCTACGGGGCTGGCCGCGCAGTCCCCGGTCCAATGATATAACTATTCTTCCCTGTTCGAATGCGAAGAAGGCGAATTGGAACACTGTAAGTTTAACACCTTCGAGGATTCCACTAATGAATTGCTAGATAATCTTCAATTCGATAACAAACTTTACTTCCCCTTAGGAATTTATGCTATGGAGCCAAAGACTATCTAACAATCCTCTAGTGGTTTGCACTTGTGAACAGTGGGGTAACCCTTGCTCGATAGAAAATATAACTTCCCGGTGGGAACTTTGCTATCGAGCAAATGATTATCTAACCGCTCCAGAGTGGTTCTTCGCTTGTGTGCCTTGTTATTAAAAGGTCTTGTTGCTGTTGTTGAAACCTTCTTCGTAGTATGTTTTTCATTGCTGCCTCATTAAAAACCTTGCTAGAAAAACCCAATTGGGACAAAAGCTGGATGGAGGGAAAAAAAGTGCAACACATACTTTCAGTATAAGTGATGTTCATCAGTAATAGTATCTCTTGAGATGCACCACGTTCTAGTTGCTTGGCAACTTTTATCCTTTTTGATTCTCCAACTCGTATGAACCTTTTCCGGTGATAGATGAAACCCGGTAGGTGCCTTCCCATGTTGGACCTAGCTTCCTTGTATTGATTTTCCCAGTGTTTTGAGTTACTTTCCTTAGAACCAAGTTTCCCACTTTGAAATAATGGAGGTTGGCTCTTCGATTATAATATCTTTCTATTCTCTGCTTTTGAGCTGCCATCCTTATATGCGCCAAGTCCCTGCGCTCATTGAGAAGCTCCAAATTGATCAACATTACTTCGTTGTTTGCTTCTTTATTTGCCTGGAAGTATCTCAAGGTAACTCCCCTGCTTCCACCGGGATCGAGGCTTCTGCTCCGTACACAAGGGAGAAAGGAGTCTCTCCTATGCTCGATTTGGTCGTTGTTTGATACACCCATAGTACTCCGGGCAGTTCCTCAGGCCATCTACCTTTAGCTACTTCCAATCGCTTTTTGAGATTTTATATAATCACTGTGTTCGTTGATTCCGCTTGACCATTTGCACTCGGATGATAGGGTGAGGATGTGATCCTTCTGATTTTCAAGTCTTCAAGGAACTTTGTGACCTTAGCACCTATAAATTGTGGCCCGTTGTCGCATGCTATCTCTTTTGGTATCCCAAATCTGCAAATTATGTTCTCCCACAAGAAATCCACCACTTCACGTTCGCCAATTTCTAAAAGGACTTGCTTCAACCCACTTAGAAAAATAGTCAGTTAAAATCAAAAGAAACCCTACCTTACTAGGGGTCGGCGGCAGTGGTCCGACAATATCCATTCTGCACTTCATGAACGACCATGGAGAAAACAATGAGTGCAATGGTTCTTGTGGTTAATGTACCAACGAAGCGTAGCGTTGACACTTATCACATTTTTGTACAAAAGATTTGGTGTCTTGTTCCATTTGGGGCCAATAGTATCATGCCCTTATAAACTTTAGTACTAAGGAATCTGCACCCGAAATATTTCCACAGATTCCTTCGTGGACTTCTTGCATGACATAATTGGCTTCGGAGGCTCCCAAACATCGGGCCAGCGGACCTTGGAAAGATTTCCTACACAATTGGCCCACTTTAAAGCTATATCGTATTGCTTTAGCGCGCATCGCCCGGGATGCCTTGGCGTCAGGCAATTTTCCGTGCTCGAGATAATTAATGATCTCATTCCTCCAATTCCAGACCAAATTAGTCGTGTTTACCTCGTAGTAGCTACCTGCATCTAGAACCAAGTGTATAAGCTATACTATCGTACAGGAATTCGATCCCTTTATTTCCGTTGATGAGCCAAGATAAGCTAGTACGCCTGCTTCCGTGTTTTCTTCCCCCGGGATGTGCGTAATTGACCACTCTCAGAATCGAGCAAGCAAAGCCTGAACCTTCGCTACATATTGTTACATGCGCTTATCTTTGGCTTCAAAGATCTCATAGACCTGATTTACCACTAGCTGGGAGTCGCATTTGATTTCTATGACCTCAGAATCTACTCTTGGATCAATTCGAGACCTGCAATCAAAGCTTCATATTCTGCTTCATTGTTAGTTAAAATAACCGTTCTTATGGCCTACCTTAGGGTTTCTCTCGAATGCGTAGTTAATACTATGTCAAGACCAAACCCTTTTACGTTGGAAGCTCCATCCATAAATAGGGTCCAAAATTCTAATATTGATTCTGATGCCATTACTGCCTCTTTGGTTGCCAGAGGTAGTAATCCCGGGCTGAAATCGGCCATAAAGTCCGAGTTCATTTCAATTACCTCAAAGCCTGCTGACATTCTGTGGTCCATTCGAAGTTGTTCTTCTTATTTAGCAGAAGAAGAAATAGTGGCATTTCTCTGAAGACTGAGAAATGAACCTGCTCAAAGCGGCCAATCTCCCTATAAGCCTTTGAACCTGTTTTACGCTTGATAGCTGGTCTGGGATGTCTTTGATGGCTTTGATTTTATCGGGGCTAACCTCAATACCCCTTTGTGACACCAGAAACCCCAGGAACTTGCCGGAGCTGACCCCGAACACATACTTTTCGGGGTTAAGCTCCATGTCATGCTTCCTTAGGATGTCAAAAGTTTCTTGCAAGTATTTAAGATAATCACATGCGTTCAAAGACTTAACAAGCATATCGTCTATATAAACTTCCATGGTTTTCCTTATCTGTTTTTCAAACATCTTATTTACGAGCCATTGACAAGTGGCTCCAGCGTTCTTTAGCCCGAAGGGCATCACATTATAGCAGTATGTGCCGAAAATTGTTAAGAATGAAGTTTTTTCCCGATCTTCCGGGTTCATCTTAATTTGGTTGTACCCAGAGTAAGCATCGAGGAAACTCATTAACTCATACCCGATCATTGCATTAATCATTTGATCGATGTTTGGCAATGGGAATGAGTCCTTTAGGCACACCTTATTCAAGTCCTTATAGTCTACACACATGCAAAATTTATTATTCATCTTAGGAACTACTATTACATTAGTAGCCAGTCTGGATACTTTACCTCTCGGATTAAACCGATATTAAGTAAGCGAGTTACCTCTTCCTTGACGAATTTATTTCTGGCCTCGATGATATGACATTTTTTTTTATCTTACCGGAAGAATGTTAGGATCTAGGCTTAACTTGTGTACGGCCACTTCCGTTGGAATACCTGTCATATCCGCATGCAACCACGCAAAACAACCGACATTAAATTTAAGAAATTCAATAAACCCGGACTTGAGCTCGGGGTGCAGTCTTGTCCCCAAGTGAAATTTCCTCTCCAAGAACTTTTTGAACAACAGGACTTGCTCAAGATTTTCCGCTGTGGACTTTGTTGCGTTCATCTCTTCTAGTACCTGGAAATATCTTGGCACTTGATAAGATTCCGACGTCTCTTCCCTCTGGTTGACTTTGCTTGACTCGGGAGTAGGCGTCGGTTCTTGTAATTGCTATGCCGCATGCTCCTTCTCTTTGCTACTGGATACCGAAATCACATTCATCTCTCTTGCCACCGGTTGATCGCCTTTTATTTGTTTAATCCCCTCAGGAGTTGGGAATTTCAGCAACTGGTGATACGTTGATAGTACAACCTTCATCTCGTGCAACCATGGTATTCCCAGGATAATGTTGTAGCCCATATCACCATCCACCACCTGGAAAAGGGTCGTCTTCATCACCCCCTCGGCGTCCGTGGACAACATGATTTTTCCTCGGGTTGTCACGCTTGGTATATTGAACCCGGCGAGAAGTTTTGTGGCCTGAATGATGCTTCCAGTAAGTTTGGATTGTTCCAATACCCTCCATTGTATAATATTGGCCGAACACCCTAGATCCACTAGAACACGTTTGATTTTAAAATCTAACACATTTAAAGAAATTACCAATGCGTCATTGTATGGTAGCAACAATCCATCTGCATCTTCCTCCGTGAAAGTGATGTCATCTTCAGTGACTTCCCGGAGTCTCTTGATATGGGTTACTGATACCTTCATCTTTTTTTGCTGCCGAAAAGGTAACCCTGTTAATCTCGTTCCCCTTAAAAATCATATTGATCGTCAGGCGTGGGGGATCTTCTCCTGCTTTTGAGGGATCCATGTTGTCATGATTGCGACTGTGATTGTTCTTGGCTCGGTCACTTAGGAACTCCCTGAGATGGCCATTTTTCAGCAGTATCGCCACTTCTTCGTGCGGATGCCGGCAGTCCCCAGTCCGGTGACTGTTCATCCCGTGGTATTCACACCATAAATTAGGATCCCTCTGGCTTGGATCGGACCTCATAGACTTTAGGAACCGTGCTTCTTTAATGTTCTTCATAGCTGATACTAACTGTACCATGCTGACGTTAAAGTTGTATTCTGAAAGTCTGGGGTAGGAAGGGTCTCGAGAACCTGACGTTTCCTTGTCCTGTAACGACCTGTTGTTCCGGCCGCGATCAATCCTTCTATCAGTAACAAACCTATATGCATATTGGAAGCTTGTGCCGCATCCATCGGCCCGTTCATAAGGCAAAACCCGGCTCCTCGAAGACCGTCTATCTGTGTCAAAATCGTCTTTTGATTTCTCTTTATTCTTCTCCCGACCTTTAACCAATGCTGGAAGACAAGCTGATCATCCTCAATCCTTATCTTTGACTCTTACCGGTTATGAACATCCGCCCAAGTCGTCGCTTGGAACTCGAGTAAGCTTTGTTTTAACTTCTAGGAAGCATAAAAACTTCTCGAATTCAAACCCTTGGTGAATGCTTCAGAGGCCCATTCATCCGGAATGGCCGGGAGCAATATCCTTTCCTTCTGGAACTGGGTTACAAATTCTCGCAGCAACTCAGACTCTCCTTGTGCAATCCTGAATATATCGGCCTTTCGGGCCTACACCTTTCTGGTCCCAGCATTGTCCTTAATGAAAGAGTCTGCGAGCATCTCAAATGAGTCTATAGAATGCTCGGGCAACAACAAATACCATGTCAAGACTCCCCTCGTGAGAGTCTCTTCGAATTGTTTCAGCAAAACTGATTCAATCTCGTGGGGAGCTAAATCGTTACCCTTCACCGTTGTTGTATAGGTGGTGATATGATCTTGAGGGTCTGAAGTCCTATCATATTTCGGTACGTCAGGAATTTTAAACCGCTACGGGATCAATTCTGGTGACGCGCTTGGTTTGTACGGCAATAGAGTGTAGTTCTTTTAGCATAGTCCTTTCAGCACCGGTGGTGCACAAAGGATTTGGTCCATGCAGGCCTTCACTTCCCTCATAAATCGTATGAGTTCGTTTTTGAAGGGATCACTATCGTTGTTATGACCAGATTTGCTCCCCCAACCCCATCAAAGCCGACCTCGCCTCTCGGGGTGTTTTGTCGACCCTCTGCATTGTTTGATTTGCGGGATCACCGGGAGGGACTGGACCTCGTCCATTCACGTTATTGGAAGCACCCGATAACGCATATTTTAGCTCTGTCATAACCTTATCCTGCTGCGTGAGATGGCCTAGAATGACCTCTTGTTGTTCCTGCAGGACCCTTACCGCTTCAACGACTCTTCTTCCGCATTATTAGGAGTCGCCTCCCGAACATGTCGCGGGTACCGCCTGCCGTGGACTGGTGTGGCCTCGTTCCCCTTACTGCGGGTAACACTAATTGAATCTTCGTGCTGAGGCTGATTTCCTTGGGCCTCAAGGTTGTGTGTGTAGTTAACACCATTATCTGTCATTTTTTATAATTTTTTGCTAAGAACAAATGATTAAACATGTTAGTAAAAAAAAGGAAGGGACCGACTTAATTACACAACTGTCTAGGCCCCACGGTGGGTGCCAAACTGTTTACCCGTAAAACGATATAGTTGAATTTATACGTAATTTTTAGAAAAGTGAATTAATTTGATCCTGAAATAATAGATGAATTAGATAAAAATGTAATACTTAGCCTTGAGATGGAGACGAAATAGTAGAAATAATAATTGCGGGAGCAGGGCTTCCGGGCACAACAACAATGATATCAAAAAACAAGAAGATAAAATTATATTAAGCTTTGAATAGAGTGTAGCATATGTTTTCCAGAAACTACAATGATAATAGAGCTCATTATTTATAGCTACACCTAGGGAACAATATCCTAGGATCAAGCCCCTCTTTAGTGTCAATTATGAGGGCCATTGAAGAATGTCTAACGGCGCCGCAATGAATATCATATTTCTTGTAACAGGCAGTATTCTTAATGCTGTAGAATAATCTTCATTAAATGCTACCGGGTGGAATGCGTTTATTTCATCTTTATGAATATCATTCTCTACGATAACAGACGAGATCGTTGCCTTCAGTTTCAGCTATCTACTGTCTTCGTCTCCACGTGTCATTTCCTCATGCGATCATTTAATATAACATATTTTACCCTATACATGTATAACCGCTAAAAGGTTGTTGTTTTGGTGAAAAAAAGAATTTTATCGATCACCAGCACAAAAACTTTACAATTGAATCCCCCATATTCCTTCCTCACTCAACCCCCTTTTCTATTAGCATTTCTGTTCTATTCTGGCCATATCAAGCAGCTATACAATTACTCCTATTTATGATAATCTTTCTACCCATGCTCTCTAATTATGTCTTAAGGATCTCCAAACAAGTATATCATGTATCTTCTATTTGCTTTCCTGCTTAATATTATTGACAATCATGTGGGGACTCTATGATCCCAATTAGCAACATTCCTTACTCTCCAGATGTGGTACACCACCGCTACCATTATCGATATTATTAATTGCCTGCATACTTTGCCTTGCATTCTTCTAGTCATACGTCTCCAGAGACCCTTCAAGTCCCATTGCCGGACCCCCATGTTCAACCATTGCAGCACTTCCAGTGTACATGTTTTTGAGAATGGGCATTCAAAATATAGGTGGTCAATTGTTTCAATGGCTTCCCCACATTTGGCACATGAGTTTTCTTTGCATATTCCCAATCGAGCCAATCTATCCATCGTTAACAATATTTTGTCCATAGCTACCCAATAGATGAAGCTATATGTTGGGGTGTTATATTTACACCAAACCCATCTCATACCAGCCAAACCCTCTCTACTCCCCTGTCTCTATTTGTAGTCGTTGCCTAATGAGTATTGTCCATTCACTGATAGCCACCCATCCTAAACATATCCAGCTGCAAATTTGTTATGTATAGTGCATATTTTCCTCCAGTACCAGCAACAGTCATTAGGAGGATGTCATGACCCACATCCACGTGACCGACACCCGGCACACTATCTGGCCCGAGCGAACCAACCTATAAGATGCACCCAAACGATATGCATGAAAACCAATTTAACTGTGGAAGCTCTTTGAAATTTTATATATTTTTCAAGTTAAACAATGGAACAATTTTCCAATTCAAAATTATACATGAAGCCTCTCATAATCATAATAATGAAACTAAGTAAAATAAATATCTTTTCACGTATGTCGCGTACAAACCCATTACTATAATTATTCACAACTACTATGGAGCCTCTATACCAAGGAATAGAACTAAATTCTTGGGCTAATGCCCGACTAACATATATTAAGTGGGGCCTTAGAAGGGGGCTCCTAAGGGCTGAGTACACCACAACGGTACTCAATAAGTGTCATAGACTCTCTCTAACTCAAGTTCGTGGGACAAGATTTTATAAAACTTTTGCAACCAATATTGGACATAAAGTGATAAACGGTTATAAATCATGTTCTTTATTATTTTAAATAAAAGACAAGTGAAATGTAAGCCATGGTATAACGTTTTAGAATGTCTCTATCAACCCAATATATTTAATAGAAATAATATAAAGCCATTTCAATCTTATTAAGTAAATCGTATAAAACCATTTTAATCTCATTAAGTCATTGAAATTATTTTCGGCTCCTTAGGCCTGATATTAGAAATATCTTTTTTATCTTTCACCGGGAGTACTATACAGACACCGACATAATGAACAACTACTAGGTGATCATCCTAGCAATAAGTTTTTGACCGTACTTGTCTGGGCGGCTTCCCATAGTCCCGTATGAGTCGACTTAACCTCATTACTTTAAGTAATGATCATTTGCCCTCTTCCCACAAACCTCGGCTTAGCCTTGGAATGTGTCCCTACACCGGCACATGTAGTTTCATAGTAATGAATTCAACATTCGAACCAATCTCGGTGGTCCACTAGTAACTTCCAAAATATTTGACATATCAAAAATATATTCATAGCATAATTGCCTCAAGGGATCTATTTTTATCAAATCATTATTTTCATAGCCAATCCAAACTATTGGAACAAAATCAATTGAATAACCTTTTTCATGTTAAAGCTTTCAGGAATTAACATCAATTTAAAGATACAACAAGTGCTTCCTTTTTTGAAATTTTAAAAGACAAACTTTTTCATGAAAATATATCTTTAGCATTCGAGCATTTTAGACTCTTATCAACAAATAAGTTTTAATATAACTTATAAGAATTTTCTTAAGTGTCATTTTGCCAACAAGTTTTGAAAATAATATTTTTATAAAATTACACGACACTTCATAAGCAATAATTTAAAAACACATGGTGACATCTTTCCCGCTTGTCCCCGCAAGTACTGATGCACACTTACATATAATACAATGTATCTACTTAAGACATGCTTTTAAAGAGAATCCCTCACGAGAGTAAGTTTTAATCAACTTACCTCAAACTTCAAGCTCCAAAAATACTATCATGCTCCAATATTGCCCACAATTCAGTATCTACCATAAGATATCCAACTACATCAAAACAAATACAAAAAGATGCATAAATATTTATTTAGGCTTCAAAATTCGGCAACAAGCCTTCAACCATCCCAAATTATCCAATAGGCTCACCCATTAGCCTATTCAATTCCATTCTTATTATTTAATACTCATTTGGAGTCATTAATAGCACTACGTTAATTATCCAACATCATTAAGTCACTATATATTGTTTTCTCTAACAAAACCCTAGGTTCAAGAACACCCATTTTAAGAACTAGTGTTGCATCTTGTCCAAATGGTTATTCCCTATTCAATTCATTCATCAATTAAGTTATCAAGTCTATTGGAATTATTAGAAACTCAAAACAATTCCATTTATATCAATTCATCACTATTCATCTTCTTCTTTGCCCAAAATATCATTTTCAAGACCCACCCTTAGGGTTCATACAATATCCCATTACAACTTCAAATAAAACACATAAAGATTCTACCAATTCTCCAATATGACATATATATGAAGCTCAAGTGAAGGGATTAACTCTTGGTGGAAGAATCTCACTTTTCCTCTTTTTGATGTTCTTGAAGATTCAACCCATTTTCTATGGATTTGATCTATAATAGTGTTAGTATAATCACTAAATGATGTAATATAATCATCCTTGTACCAAAATAATTTACCTTGAAGTGTATTAATGGTGGAATAGCTCCTCATTCTCTCTAGAAATCAATTTCAAGTTGAAGAACTAACTTTTTATCTTTCTAAACCCTTTGTTTCATCCCCTTTAAAATGGCCCCTAAAATTGCGTTCTCCTTGTATAGCCTACTCATAAAACATACGCATGAGGCCTTTCCCTTGGCCAAAATCTTAAATTGGCTATGCAGGTTGAGTAGCCTGCTGCGTAGCTGTACTACCACCTTATGGTAAAAAGGCCATAACGTATTGTTGAAATATCCAAATGTCGAACGGTTTGAAGCATTAGAAAGTAGACACATAGAACTTTTATATGATAGGTCATACACCATGAAAAACACTTCATATCTTGAGATTTATGCTCGTTTGAAGTTAAATCTTGTGCGAACCCACTTGAAACTTTAGCCCATCATATAATTTCCAACTTGACTTAGCTTAAGGGCTCTTCTTAGACCATAAACCATTTTTAATATACCTCATACACATATTATCATGTTCAAGTGATATCATTTATATCATTATCCCTTGCTCACACGCGAATTAATATAATTAGCACATGCCGATCTTCTTTAAAGCCGTTAAACACTTCGAAATTGTACGGAGTGTTAGATTCTCCCCCACTTAAGAAAATTTGTCCTAGAATGTTTTACAAGTCATTATTAGGAACAGTGTTATACTACTTTCACCTTAACCATCATCTTTAATCATTCTTGACTTTATATGGATCTTAGATATTCTTCCAAAATTTCAACTTCCTTAAGGCCCCCAAATTTGGCTAACTCTCTAAATTCATAAAATTTTCGGTAGAGTATCCCCTCTAACTGAGACTATACAAAAACTTCAACCTGTCCAGATCAAGCCCCTGATCCACATCCAATCCGCACTCAATAGTGATTGGAAACGGTCGTTGGAAGAATAATACCCAACAAGAGTCGGGGTTGATTTCCTGTCATGACCCAAAATCCCATCTGTCGTAATGGAACCTATCTCAATACTAGGCAAGATGAAAATATCAATAAACTACCATATCTTTGAAGTTTGAAAAACATAATATTTAACTTCAGCGAAACAAACCCACAAATACAGATATAAACACTCCCAAAACCCGGTGTTACTGAGTACACGAGCATCTAATATGAATATAAAGTCTGACTGACAAAACACTGTCTGAAAGTATAGAATAGTACAATAACTTAAAGAAAGTGAGTCAAGGTTAGCGGACTCCAGGCAACTACCTTGATAGTCTCCAACTGATAGCACTCTGAGATCAAACGGTCACCGTGTC